TGCTAGGTAGTTGGGTGGTTGGGCTTCTATGGGCGGGGTTCAGGCTTGGTTTTCAAAATTTCCCTCCCCCTGCGCTGAGAAACAATCCACTTCGCCTCCTCCGAAGTGCAAAGCATAGCGTTATCGGCAATGGCACCAAGGCACTCAGTATCGTTCAGTGGTGCCAATGGTGGAATGCAGATCGGGTATAATCGATCTCCAATTCGGGTCGAATTCCATTCTCACGGTAGGCCCGTAAGTACCTAGTAGTTATTATCCTTTCCCCCTCCACTTCGAGCGATATTGGAAAGCTCCCTACACTACAAGCTCCCTAACCTCTAGTTATTTAGTTGGCATTGATCCACTTGCAGTCCATTGCCTAGCATCAAAATTGACAGATTACTGACCCTAGCGACATCGTGCGCACCGACGGACCTTGATCCCCGACGGTTGATCGAGAACGTCCGAGCCTGGCTGGCCTGGCTGTCGCCCGAGGACTTCTCGGCCAAACAGGATGATCTGCGAGCCGAATGGCCCGACCACGCGGGGCGATGGCTTCTCGACGACGCCCGGTTCCAGCAGTGGGTGCGAAGCGAGCAGGGGATCCTCTTTTGTTATGGGATCCCCGGCGCCGGAAAGACCATGATGGCCGCCGCGGTGGTGGATCACCTGTTCCACACTTTCCGACGACGGGACTCGCCGGTCGGGATCGCCTACTGGTACTGTACGCCGCAGCTGCGAGCGCAGCATCTCGGCCGATTCTTCGGCAGCATGCTCAGGCAGCTGATGCCTCGGCTGCCAAAGCTGCCCCGGAGCCTGGAGATGATGTATGCCGACTACGTGGATCGGGAGCGGCGGCCCTCGCCGGCGCACGTCCAGGAAGTGCTCTGCGAGGTCATCAAGGCATATGACCGCGTGTTCCTGGTGGTGGATGGCCTTGACGAACTGTCCGGGCGGCAGCACAGTCAGCAAGAAATGCTGGATCGGCTCTTCGCCTTGCAAGAACGGACGCAGAAGAAGCTGAACCTGCTTGCGACCTCGCGTCCTCTTCCGGAGATTGTCGCACGGTTCGGTGAGAAGGAGAGTGTCGGTATTGAGATCCAAGCGCATCAACAGGATCTGGTCTGTTATGTCGGGGAAAGGCTCTGTCGATTGCCGTATTTCGTACGCGGCAATAAGGAGCTCCAACAGGAGGTCATAAAGAATGTCACCCAAAATGTAGAGGGGATGTGAGGAACCAAGAAGTAACCCCGAACAACTTCCCCGCCTGTGGCTAACGCTTGAGCACCCGCCTCTATAGGTTTCTACTGGTCCAACTGCGGCTTCACGCTTTGGCATCAACAACGTCAGTCTCGATGTTTCGAAAGAAGTTGCGCCAATTCAAAGAGGGAGGCGAGACCTGTGAAGATTTATATGAACATACTATGCGCAGAATCACTCATAAGGATGGTGGTCTCCGTGACGATGCTTGGAATGTCGCCCAGAGTGCGATTTTCTGGGTCTTGTGGTCCAGAAGGGAGTTGACCATACATGAGGTACGACATGCGGTTGCCGTCCATCCCGACTGCAATCCAATCAGTGAAGATGACATACCTCACATCGATCTGATCCTTTCTCTCTGTGGTGGCCTTCTACAGAGGGGGGCCACCAGTCAAAATGTGACGTTTGTCCACTCCACCGCTCGGAAGTACTTCGAGAAAACCTGTTCCGATTGGTTTCCGGGGGCCAAGGACAAGATTGTGAAGGCATGCCTCACATATTTATCCAATCCGGCCTTTACGGGCGTGTGCGAGGATCAACAAAGCCTTCGAGAAAGACTCGATGCCTATCCACTGTATACATATGCCGCGCAAAACTGGGGATATCATGCTTGTCAATGCTCGGACTCTTTGACAGGATATATCAAAGCCTTTCTAGCCCGTGAAGCACAGGTCGACGCATGCAGTCAGGTGCTGATGCTGTTAACTTCAAACATGACAGGCCGGTATGCTTCGCGACAAATGCTGGCACCCCACCTAGTGGCCTACTTTGGGCTTGACCGAGTCGCGGAACGCATGGCACTGAGTCAAAACCCTGCGATAAATCCCCCCGACGCAGATGGAAGAACACCGCTGTTGTGGGCTGCACGGAATGGACACACCGAAGTGGTGACCATGTTCTTACAGATGCAGAATGTCGATCTCAATCTACCCGACAAGGATGGACGAACCGCATTCTTGTGGGCTGCAGCAAAAGGCCATACCGCCGTATTAGAAGCACTGTTGGCGACGGACCAGATAGACATCTACCATGAAGATGTCCAACGGCGGAACGCATTGACTCGTGCTGTCATTAATGGCCGAACGGAAGCCGTTCGGCTTTTACTTGACAGATGCCGCTTCGATATCAACTCCCCAGATAGAGAACGACGTACAGTCCTATGGTGGGCGTCAGCCAAGGGGCATGGAACCATACTCCAACAGCTCCTTCCAAGATGCACGGCCAAAACGGTCAACCGGAAAGACAAGCATGGATGGGATGCACTGACCCGTGCAGTGTACCGAGGTCACCAGCAGGTTGTGCATGTCCTGCTTACAAGCGATGCGGTCGAGCCGGATCATAGCCGCAAAGGCCACACACCATGGTGGTGGGCAATGAAGAACAAAGACAGCACTATCGCAAAGGCCTTCATGGATGCGCTGGACAGGAAACGGATTGATGCCAATACCATATGCGTTGGCCAGCGCACCGCGCTCTCGTGGGCCGCGGGCATGGGCTGCGAGGAGATAGTGCGCGAATTACTTGATCGGACCCCTGAACCGGATGACCTCAACGCTCACAACGACGGAAGAGCCAGAACAGCGCTATCCTGGGCGACCGCCGGGGGTTGTGTTTCAGTGGTGAAGTTGCTCCTTGAGGCACGTGGGATCAATCCGAACCAAGCTGACACCAAGAAGCGCACCCCGCTCTGGTGGGCTATTGCCAACAATAAGGTCTCGGTAGTGCAACTGCTCTTGACCAACCCTGCCGTGGACTTCAATATAAAGGATAGCGTGGGACGAACGCCATTGTCATTGGGCGCTGGCCTGGGGCGTTCTGCCATCGTTGATCTGCTGCTTTTGCACCGAGAACGTCTTCAGATCGACGTAAACGCAAAGGACATGCATGGGCGGACGCCGCTCTCATGGGCCGCGAGGAATGGTAATGGACATGTTGTCCGACGGCTCCTCGAAGTCGACGATGTGGATCCGAATGCGGTAGACAGACTTGGGCGCACACCCCTCATGTGGGCCATTATCAACGGCCATGCCGAAGTGGCAGAGAGAGTGATAATTGACGGAGAGCCCCTCGTTCAACTCGACCGAGTCGACCAGAAAGGTCGTTCGGCCTTGTTCTGGGCTGCGTGGGCTGGGGATGCAGCCACGATCTCCCTTCTTCCAAAGAGCCCCGGTGTGAATTGCAATAAACGGGACCGATCCAACGAGGAGACGGCCCTGTCGGTTGCGATCAAAAAAGGCTACAGCCAAAGTGCTCGAAGCCTTCTCCGAAACTACCGCGAGATCGAGGTCAATGCGGTATACAAAGATGGTCTGACCCCACTACATCTCGCCGCGCAGCGTGACGATGGCGCCACAGTGGACCTGCTTCTGCAGAAGGGAGCCGGCTTAGAACGATGTGATATCTTCGACCGAACACCTTTGTTCTTGGCCTGTGGATTCCCGCGCAAGCCCGAGCTAAGAGAGGAATCATCCCTCTGGAGTCTACTTGCCGCAGACGCGAACATGAATCACCAAACCAAGAAGGGCTGGACACCGCTACACAATGCATGCAGCAAGGGAGATTCCGCAGCAGTGGACGCCCTCTTCTCCTACGGAGCGAAGGCTGTATACCCGGACACGCAGTCAGGGGCGCCTCAACCCCTAGCATTAGCATCGCGACACGGGCATCTGGAAGTTGTGAAACAATTACTAGCACATCCCGTGGCGCAAAGGATGGATCTGGAAAAAGCATCGGAGATTGCACTCGATGGGCGCCGTACGAAGATATACCGATTGCTTCAGGCTCATATCGCTAAGCATCATAAGATTCAACCCCGACTGGTGTGTCGCAAGAAAGATCATCATCCACAGATAAATCCAAGCCGTTCAAACGCCCCTCCTGATCATGAACAGGAAGGAGCTCTCTCACAAGCAAGGGCAGTAGACCAAGATTCTCCGGCCATTGACATTGGTCTCCAACGCGAACCCCCCGCAGGATCGATCAGGGGGCATCCGCCTCCCATTACTGCTGATGACCACCAACTACCTGTACGAGGAAAAAGAAAGAATTGGAAGCATTGGATCACCGACCTCATACGTTCGTGGAAGGACAGAAGGAAGGCCAGACTGGTGAGACGGAGGCGTCGATCGACAAAGACCAGGAGACGGAGGCATCGATCGACAGATACCAGGAGACGGAGGCATCGATCGACAAGTACCAGGAGACGGTGATTTGCATAAGATTTCAAAATTCCTACAAAAATTCTTTTGCTAGTCCTCGTGTCTGCTGAGAAGGATTTCTGATAAAAAAGCACCGTCTTAGCATCAGAGAGTTCGGCACACTCTAAGGACTCTTACAGGCGTCGAGCAATGTTGTAGTCACAGTAGGTCACAGTTCCTTTTCCCTCCCTCGGTGATTCTTGTCTTTGGTTTTCGCAAATTCGGAGCATGGAGGGATCTCTATCAAGCAAAGTCGGACTCATTACGGAGTACACAAAAGCCATCTCACTATGATCCATCATTTGGAAGTGCGGTAGGGCTGGAGGTGGTCATATAAGATCCAGTAAGCGTCTTCTGAGAGATCTGATCATATAGCAAACAGGTACGTAGTTACTATTGAGCTCAATGGGATGTGAGTTGGAAGAAAGAACAACGAACAAAGAACAAAGAAGCAAAAAAAAAAAAAAAAAAAAAAAAAAAAAAAAAAAAAAAAAAAAAAAAAAAAAAAAGTGGACAGGACTACCTAAGAAAGTTGAAAAAAAAAAAAACGGATATTGCAGAGTTGGGCCCCTGCGAGACTCGAACTCGCAGCCTAATGTTTTCCGCGCTCCACAAGCGCCGCGCACCGACGGAGTTGTGACGAAGCGACAAGTTGCATTAACTCTACCATTGAGCTAAGAGGCCGTGGGTCTACAGTACAGTACCAGGCAAACATCTCTTGGATAGCCCCGTCATTGCTTGTCAGAGTTCGTTCCGTGCCTGCGACGCCTGGTCAGATCTTAGTGTAGTTTTCTGACCAGAGTTTACTGGCTGAATGCTGGCACTGAGTTGTGTAGCAGGCGAACCTGGACGAACAAGCACCAGCCCCCGATTTCTTTCGATGACTCTGTATCATCTCACTGCGCATCTGGGTGCAGGCGAACAGCAGCCGGAATCCCGCAAGCCCATACTTCCTCAGACGCAAGGATGCCGGTGGTTTCTGTCATGGTGTTCGGGGAAGACCATTGTACCACGTTGTCTAGGAAGAAGTTGCAAGATGGAGGATCCATCTGGTCATTTATGTCGGGGTAGCGAAAAGTCCTGGCCGATCCATGACGGCTCAATCCCTAGTAGAGCTACGATAAGACACCGAAGACCCCTTATCTCCTATCGACAAGACAAGAACAGCACCGTCTAGGGGTGATGAGACGCGCTCTCCTCTCAATGGCATGGCCGGGCGCCATTGTATCGCGTTCCAATCATAAAATCCCACATCAGGGAAAAATGCCAATGACGAAGTGACCTTTGCGATGCGTGACCTATCTGTGCTGATTACCAGTCTATGAAGGTCTCGAATTGAGTGGTACCTCCGGGCTACTAATACGCCGTGAAAGTGCTGCTGCTCTCAAGGGCACAGCACAGAAGCACTGTTGTCTCATCCAGCTTGATTCGGACTTATTCGTCTCATATAAGAATGCATCCAAACTTAAATTCCGGGTATCTATAGGTGTATCTGTATCTGTGTATATATGTCAATAAATATAAACTCTATGCCTTCTCCGTCTGCCGTCCCTTCCGCATAGACGGAAGGAAAAACGCAGGATACACGACGGTAAGGGCGCCCACTCCCAGCGCGATCATCCTATCACATATGTTAGCCATGCTTAATCACTACCAGAGCGCAGTTGGGCGAGGACGGCATACATTCCATCCAACACCAGAAACTCGTCTTCCTTCTGCATCAGGGGATTACCCCACCCACCGGCCATCTCGGGGATACTGTCAACAAGAGCATCGTTAGCGATCATCTCAACGATGCGCATCCAACAACAAGGCAAAAGGAAGCTGCCTACCGATAGATACACCGAATCAACACGGTGAAGTACGCAAAGATCTCCGCATAGATAACCAGTCGAATATGCTTCACTCCCTCCACGTTAAGATCACCACCCAAACCAGGCCCGTGCCGGACGACCCGAATGAAAAACTCCAGCGCGATCAGCCCGCACACCGACATGGTCGCCACCTGAAACGCAATACCGGCGATGATGATGTCGTCTCCAACTTGCAGGAGGGTCTGGTCCGTCTTGCCGGCGGCGGCGGCGACACCACCTCCGGCCGCTTGGAGAACGAGGGACCCGACGTCGCAGCTGATGAAAATCCAGGTGAAAAGGCGCGGTTTGAGGCGCGAGTATTGCGGCCCCAGCGAGAGGACGATGTGCTTGAGGGTGAGGTAGATGCCCGCGGCGACGAAGGTGGGCGCCAGCACGAGGCAGACGATCTGTAGCTTGAACGCGTTCTCGTTCCAAGGATTGTAATGCATTTGTATGCGCCCGATATACCCGGCCAGCTCCATGAAGGCGCCGATGACCATCGCGGTCGTCAGCGTCCAGGCGCGGAAGTAGATGCCGAATCCCAGCTGGAAGACGCCTAGGATGCCGTAGAAGACCGCGAAGAAAATGTTGCCGCCGAGGTTGGGGTAGTAGCCGTAGGTGGTCGCCTCGACGGGGCATTCTAGCGAGACTTTTTCGCAAGTGCCGTAACTCATGGTGATGGTTCTGAAGAGTTTCGCCGATTTTGAGGTGGGGAACTTTCTGCTGGATTAAGTCTATGTGATCGTATTCAAAAAATTGAAAATCAACAAGAACAGAGTAAGAGAATGCAAAGTTCTGCCGACAACGCGATGCAGGAACAACCGTTATGATAAGCAAAAGAACGACAAAGAAGAAAGGAAGAGAAGGACGTGTTGTCTCCGACAAGGATTCATGCTCGTAATCTGGAGGCCTGAGGGGGGATCAGACCTATTTTAATACGGGGAATTGTTTAAATTGGTTCCTTAACTCCGATTGGGTGGCGTTTTGATGACTGGTGGATCGATATCAAGAGAAACGTGGTCGACAACCACGGTGATTGGGTCGCTTTCGTTCTCGTTCTCGTTCTCGTTCTCGCAAGGCCCCACAAGCGGGGAGAACCGATTGACTTTTTCGACCTCATCTTCGGCTAATTCAGGTCAACACGCATTAATCAGCGTCCTCGCTGCTCGGTTCCAAGGGTAGGAAATTTGTGGGAAGTAATGTGATCCTTACTGTCTTGACAAGTGGCGATATACGCATTAGATGGCGCAGCAAACGGGACAACTGCATATGACAGCTGGGGTAGATGGCCAGTCCGTTCGAAGACCTCCGCCTCGATATGCATGAAGGCTAATTTGACATTAGCGAATCCAACGCTTCCTCCTTCTTCAGCCATAAATTCTTCATGTCGGATCTGATTGCCGTTGCTGTTTTATTGATGACAATAACCTAATAAGATCCGGACGCAGATGGTATCCAAGAGCAAATCCCCTAACAGACATCGATCACTCCTTCTCACTTGCACCAGCTTCTACCTCGTTATCTGTGTTTGTCAGGTCTGTCAAGTCTGCCAAGTCCATTCTTCTGACGTGGAAAATGGTTCGACAACATACCTGACCGTCTAGGTCTGAAGGAAAGAACATAGAAGATAGCCGCCGTGTACATGGACACAACAGTAGTCTGCCCTAGACATTCCGTCACCAGGAGTTCTGTCCATCCATCCTCGTAACCATCCCACACTATACCAACTATATCGACAGCCCCAATTGATGCGTACCCCATCAGTGCGATGACTATGCTGTAGCTAAGCCCAGCCATTCGGACGCAGAACCAGACACTGAACGCAGGTAGGGCTGCGTGGAACAGGCTGCGCCAAAAGGGGACCCATCCCGGCGAGGGAGGAAGCGAGGACAGAATATCTGGCATCTTGTTGGATATGATGTCGAAGAGTATTGGGAGAGGTCCTCTGAGCATGAACTGTATGGTGATAGCAGTGCCGATCCAGAAAAGAGACGACAAGACCGTCCGAAAGTTCCCCATGGCGTAGTTAGGTCACAGAACTCTTTTTTGACTCCGATATTCTCAGTTCTCAGAAGGGATTATATAGAATGAATGATGAGGGTAATCGAAGCAAGTCACTGCTGCTGGCACACTGCGTATGTGAATGAGGGAGGTTGAAGGGTTTTCAATAATGTCCCTCCTCCTTGTAAGGCTGATCTCTTGAGTACCCACCGCAGGATACATAGCTGCGCTGTGCGGGAAGTTGGGAGGAAACTTGACAAATCCCCATTGAAAGCTTGGCTGAGGCTCTGAGCTAAAGTCAATAGTTCAGGAGACCCCAAGGGTTGGACAAGTTCAGTGATGAAGCTGGCCATCTGATTGAATCATCGTTTACAGTCGACCCACTGCTCTCACATGTGGGTCGGCTCGCTCCCAGCGTGGGCGGGTGTGGAATAACGATTCTGAGCTCACTGCTGAGCTAGAAGACAGCATGCATTAAAGGATAAAGGAATGAACCTAGTAAACTGAGGATAGATGGGGCCTCATGTGCTGAGCCTGAACTGTTTTGAGCTCGGATAGTTCAAGCTAATGCTGATGCTGAAGTCGTAAAGAGAATCTCATACTCAAGCAGTGGCTTGTTTTACTAGTGGCCGTAGTGGGTAACCTTCCAGAACTGCCAGTGCGATAAGTCCGGAACACGTGACCTCCACCGGCTTTCCCCGACGTGTCTCGCTCTCTCTCCCCACGTGGGAGAATCACCCGTTGATTTAACTATCTTCCTCAGCAACCCCGTCGAAATGGAAGATGCCGCCTCGGAGGACCCATACAAAGTCACGCAATGGCTGCGACCAGTGTAAAAAGCGCCGAGTCAAGGTAGGTTGTGTTTTTCCCCCCATGCCTTCCGGATGTGCCTGTCAACTCATGCACTGCGCCACAACTCCGGACCTCTAATATTCAAGTATAGTGCGATGAACAAGGCCCACCTTGCTCGAACTGCACGAGCCGGGAGCTCAAGTGTACATACTTTAAGGTCCCAATAACTCGCAGCACCATCAGTTCGCCATCTACCAGCTCTATACCTGCTTCAGTCCCGTCCATCAAAGGATTAGCCCCCGAAATCGCAAGCCACAGCCGGACTTTATCCCGGTATGGCAGCTCTGCTCCGCCAAAGTTTGCTAGCACACGAGAGCTGGAGTTGATGCACAAATATGCCACGGAGACCTATCAGAGTCTGTGCAATGAGCCAGTAGACCACTACACCTGGCAGACTGTCATTGCGCAAAAAGCTTTCCAGCATGACTTCCTCATGAGTGGGTTGCTTGCAGTCGCCTCGCTGCATATCGCTGCCACCATGGACCCACCGGAGGCTCTGTCCTATATTGACACCGCGTTGGAGTATCATGACCGGGCATTTGCTCCATTCCGGCACGCAATAGACAACCTGACTCCTGCCAATTGCGATGCTGTCTTTGCGCACTCGGTTATTACCACAGTCATTGGCATTGCCCTGCCTCGGCTATCTTCTGACAGTCAGGAGACCAACACGATGACCGAGAACATCATCGTCGTTTTCGAATTGCTTCATGGTGTCAGCAAGATATACACCCTCAGTCGCGACCATCTGTCCACGCAACTAGTCACTTCTCGAAAAGGATTCTGGGAAACGCAACTCTCAATCCTCGACGCCGAGACTGAGACCGCCTTCGATAGACTGACTAGCTTGAGCCACGCCATGCAGGACAGCATTAGTGAAGAGCAATATCGCATTATCGATGGAGCGATCGCACTTCTGAGGCGCTGCTTCTGTAGATACAACCATGCTCGCGATATAGCATCCATTCTAGGATGGCT